CTGGTGTCTGTCAATGCATTCTCGCGAGGTATTGTAATTTGGCACCACATAATCGATAATTCAATTTCTCATTCTATAAATTGCCTGCATTTCCACTGTCATTGATTTAAGTGTTTCTGCTTCTACTTTGTCTACTTCTGGCTCAAGATCCACTCATTGTGATTTGGGCACGTAAAAACAAGTCATGTTCTAATACCTAGTCCTAGGGAAATTCTTTTTTGCGAAATCACTGCATCGTTGCCATTAGTTAGAGCTGGTTTCATCACTATCTGTTTGAAAATTCTTTCATTTGTCAGTTTCCAACAACTTTCTTAAATACGTGCTATTGAAGCCCACTGACTTAGCAGTTTCAGTTATTTTTCTTTCACAAAACGTGCTACATATGTTGGGCAACGTCAAGATTATTAAGTTAACAAAGCTAACAAAGTGCCCGATCAAGGTGTGAAGGTTCGGTGAATCCACAGATGCTGCTGCTGCTATCAGCCTCAGTTTTCTTTGAAATGTAACGTTTTTAGCGTCACCATGAGGCATTATTTGGCGGATTGCAGGAGCTTACATCGGAGATTTACGAATCTCCTCCTCCACCCACACGCCATCCCGGATCGAGACCACCAATGGTCTGGCGACAACCAGTTTCCCAATGGTTCCCTCAATTCAAGTCTCAAACAGCTTACGAAGCGGCTAATCAGCAGCAGCAGCAGCAGCAGCAGCGACAGCATCGGGTCCAAGCTGCTGTGTGTAGGGGTGTTTCGCCAGGCATCTTGTCGTCCGTTGGAGCAGGAGCAATGTCACCGAAGTCACGGCAGTCACCATTGCCAGTTGTGCATGATCAAACACCAATGGCTTTGGGCAGTGGAATGTTGCCGAGTCAGCAGCTAACGACGATGCTTCGGCAGGGTAAGCTGTTTCCTACTGTGAGTGTTGCTCGCGAAGCGGTTCGCTTCACTGTGAACAAGCCATTTTATTGTTAGATAGTTGAATCGGATGCTCTGTGTGTGTGAGACAAGTGCTTTGTAATGTGGTACAGATTTGTGCCATTTCCTCCTTGGC